GCAATTGTTCAATAAACTATTCATGGGCGTATTTTCAATGCGATGTGAATTACTCAAGTTTAAGTCAAAGTACAGAACACTAACCAGTTCACGGGGTGAGATGACGGAACCAAACTAATAGAAATCAAGTGGACGCGAATCCATAAGAGTTCCTGGCGAAGGGTACCTGTGGATCGGAACAATCCCTTAGACTAGGCATAAACAAGGTTGGTGCCGTGTTCATCTCAAAGGCACTGGACGTTAAGATGGCGCGACCGTTTGTGTACCTCGTCGACCCATTATAGTCGGCCGATGGCCGAATGGTCTGCATGCTTGGCTTGCAACCATAAGGTCACCGGTTCGAATCCGTGTATGGGCGACCGTCGTCGCTGTATACTCGGCCCACGCGCGACTGGTGGTGGTCGCGTGGCAGCGAAGCGCCGTTACGTAGTAATGTTGGCGATTCCTTTTTTATGTAATCCAATGTGGCTACGACAAGTGAAGGCAAAACTTACGCCATTTTTAACATTGTTCATAAAAGCCTACAGAATTCTATCAACTATATCACTTCCAAGTTGATCATGTACAAAACATGTAGCAAGAGGATCTCTGTAACGTGGAGAAATCAATGGTAAAGCTGGCAAAACATTCCTCTGCATAGATACTGCAGAAGGTGGGACAAGCCGCCAGGTGACAATAGTGACAGCGTAGCAGAGGACGACTTTCGTGAAAAACCTGTGAATCTCAGCAGTCGCCGATAAAATCACAACTCTTGGCTAATCCATAAATGTATTCCAAATAAGTAGTATGTGATAAAACGCTCCAGGGGATGCCCTCAATCATATCACAAAATAGGCGAATATTCATCTATTTAACTAACTTGTCTTCTGAAAAAGTTCGCTTTATCTACGTCAAAGGTTAACAGTTCCACAAATACATCGGTGGGTTGGATATCCAGGCTGTATCATTCCCTGTTCAACCAACCTTGGCCCCTCGATATTTCAACTTCGTTTTGCTGGACTCCAATGTTACTATATACTGCCGAAGCAATAGGAGATTGGTTAGTTGAAGACCCAAATACCACAAATTCGTTTTGCTGTAAAATTCCACAGTTTGAGCAACTACTATTATTTAGTGGAATCACTGACGCAGTTGCATAATGGACATTCAGATCCTGTTTAACGTACCGTGAACATTTCGATTCCATCCCAACCTGAATACTTGCCATACACAAATCACCATACATAATAATAATAATAATACATAGATTTCTCTTGATGAGAGAAACTATGTCTATAGCGGCACAGAGCGATTTGTACAAAGTATCCATGCTCTTGCATGGGTGACATGGTATAGATAGAGTATTCGGATATGCGTTTGATATATGAGCATTCTGGCGGATGGTTGAGGCCGAAGCTTAGTTATGAAAACATTGGTGTTTATAGGTTTTTGGGCCCCTCTTGGAATAGCTCATCGAACGGTTTTTCCCATATGAACATAGAGATTATGGTAGTTAGATCAAGGTAATTGGCGAGTATGCTTCTAGATGTTGTTCTATTGTCACATGACCTGAGTCCTATTGGTAACTTATTCCACAGATAGCTATAACTGATCAGGAAGAAATTAGAGCAGACGTTCGCTCTAGCCTTCGGTATATGTTGCGAAGAGCTCGAGTTAAGCAATGTTGTAAATTGAGTGTAAGCAGGTGGGAAGAGGTCATTTTGTGTAGCATGTTGAAAAGCAGAAACAAGTTGTGTTTCAATCGCCGAATCCAAATTGATTGATTGCAACGTTCTCGATAATTCAGTGCAGTGTTTACCAATCAGATGTTTAGTAAATGACATCTGCAGGTTCTCCACAGCAATTCTGTCACTCTTTCTCATATTGCCGTATATTATGCCGCAGTATTCGAGTGAGAAGCTTGAAAAGCTCAACTCTAGCACGAGTTGTGTGTATTTTGTTTGATATATTGAATGTAATAATATAATAAATAATAATAATGCGTCAGCTGTACGCCGTAACGGCGCTTCGATGCCACGCGACCACCACCAGTCGCGCGTGGGCTGAGTATACCGCGAGGACGCCCATCCCTACGCGGATTCGAACCGGTGACCTTATGGTTGCAAAGCAAAAGTGCAGACCACTCGGCCACTGGCCGAGTGCTACTTGGTATCGGGCCTGTTTGAAGGTAGACGAGTACCTAATTCTAAGATCTCGCGTGGACAGCTGTGTAGGGACGCGTTCATGGTTTAGGGTGATAGATCCTTCGGGGATGCAGCAGCCGTAAGACATGATGCTTGATTTATTAGCCGAGAGGTTCATCACCCATGTGCAGCACCATGTAAGTCATCTTGAATGAGCAGTAGTGTCCAAGAAAGCTCGTCACGCCGAAGCTTATAGAAGATTTTGATATGGTCAGTAAATAAAAATGATGTACCATGTTTTACAGATGTGATGATGTCATTGATGTAGAGCAAAAAGAATAAGGGACCGATCATGCTCCCTTGAATGACTCCACTGGTGATTGAGCAGGGGGAAGAGCGATAATCACCTAAAGTGACTACCTGATGACGATCACTCAGGTATGACGATAGCCAACCTAGTAACGGGTCCCGGATCCCAAAGTTCTCCAACTTGTGTAACAGTCGCTTTTGCGGTACTCGGTCGAACGTTTGGTGTATGTCTAGAAATAGGAGTACTACTGCATAGCCGAAATCGACTGATTCTGAAATGTGGTTAAGGTAATGCAGTTGATAGGTGGTGCACGATCGTTTACTAAGAAAACCATGCTGCGAATTATTGATCAGGCCATTATTATATACGTTAACTGCAGGTGGGAAACGCCTCAGCTATTGTGCCGCAATACAAAAGAAAAAATGATGAAACAGAGCCACGCCGGCTGAATCACCAGTAACGGATGGACATGGTCCCGGAGAGTTAACAGTCGGTTATTGTGCCGCAAAAAGGAGTTAAATTATGCCTAATAAATGAGATCGTGGTTGGAGGGGGAGGCTAATTGGGTGGGACAAAGAAACTCACAACACAAACGTCACTGAGGTCGGATCCTAGCCATGTCAACGAGTGTATCTATCCAAACGTGTTCAACGTCCTTCGGTCCCCAACCAGGGATTCGAGAGACTCTAACCGACTGACGTAGTGGCAGAATGGACAAGCAGATCCAGTTTAAAGTAACGTGAACACTTCGACTTCTTCCAAACCTGAATCCCTGCCATACACAAGCCTAAAACATTGTCGGCCTATTAGGTTGTCAAACGCAATATTTTCATCATTATAATACCTAAGTTTCCGATGCGACCTGGGCTGCGCTAGAGTGCTCTTCTTTGGTCAACCTCTATATAATAAATGGAGAGTGGGTCGCAGCAGCTTCCAAATCAGATAGTCCTCCATACGTTCAGACGGCGATTTCGACACGCCGGGTCTCGGTCGAAACGGCCGTATAGCGCATTTCAGGACATACAAGGATAAACTGAATTGGAAACTGTTGCAACGAACACACAATTTATCACATCAAAAAGCCCCCCTACGCATGAGTACAAGCTCTATGTGTGCAGAACCGACTAGGATGTGCGCATTGTATACATGGATCCCAGAGAAGTAGTTATAGGGCCAGGCATAAATCTCGGTTACTTTAGTTGCAAACTAATTCATTGCCAGTCCCTATGCATGTTTGATGCACAACGCATTGACATCTGTTACTTTCTTCCTTTTCCGTAGCATCGTGGACGCAGTTCGTTATGGAAATTAAATGTGATGATAATCGTACGATGCAGTTGTAGAGAAAATATCTGGCCGATATGACGCAACAAATAAAAGGAAATAGCGAAAGTAGCCAGAACACTCGTTTACACTAAATGTTGTAAATGAAAATGGTACACAATAGCCAGACAACGTTTATTGGACCATATCTTGTGATGGCAAGAAATATGCGCTCATGTGTAGTGGTGAGACATGTAATCAGTCATGTGGAGCGTAACGTGCCCACGGATTACTTCGAAAACCAGATAGATAATGGGTAATACAACGCTCGGAAATTTAAAGTAACTAAAGAAAGATAGATTCAGCAAATTTGCGTCAACAACAGTTACAGGGAAAGCTGACTAGTAACGCTCAACTGATCCGTAGTAAGATCGAAAACGGGAGCAAAGCACCAGTAACCTGTAAGAGAACTTTATTACACTGAAAGCGTAATTAAATCATTAATGAAGTATGAAAAGAAGGGATAGGGTGAAGTTGGCGAAAGACAAACAGTTGGCGGGGAAAGGGGAGAACAACCGGCTCTTTGGATGTATCATGGATGAATCGTCTGATAGGTACAATATGTAGAACTAGATACTTAAAAGTGGAGCTCAAAGGTAACATGGTAACACCAAATCTAAGCACTAAAAATTTAGGTTCATAAGAAACACTGCCCGACCAGTGCAAGTGACAGAACAGCCGAGCTCACCAAATGCTTCCTCATCCCTAGCCGGCTGCATAAACAACAAATCCATCTCTGACAATGCGAAATTCCACTTCACAGTAGTTAGAATATACAAAGGATACCATGCCAAAACTGTAGAGTTTATCTTCGCACGAAGTTTCACAAATGGGATTTAGGCGTTTACGCAGATAAGTCATGCCGTAAGCGTTAAAAAGTGGATTAGGCCTGCTGTAGAGGACGACATAAAGAAGTATTTTCTGAAATTGCCAAACGTTATGATTACTAGTAACGGAACAAATTTTCAGAACAAAAACTGTTAGCAGGATCAGAAACCTGACTGGATCGCAGTGTGAAAGAGCTGCTGTTTCGGTCCATAAGCGACCACCGTAGTTGTTAAAACTGAATAAGCTGTTTAGCTAACACATCAACGTTGTAACATGTAAAAATCGGTGAACATATTTTGCCACAGACTCTGATCTAGTTGGCCGCATGAAGCTGACGCATGGGGGTCAAAAAACCAATTCGGATCAGTAGCATAAATGAAGGAGCATACCGGCAATCGAGTATGAGAAGCACGTACCTCATATACCAGATGAAAACTGACCAAAATGGTGGGCAAATGAAACCAAACCGAACGACTCCATGGATCTGAACGGGTGGTACGTGCTACGTCCACAAGACGAGGTTCAATGAGACCCGAGCGGCTGTTTTGCAGATTCCGACTGACAGAGAACAGAGATGGGTCCGAAATTGCATCACCTATTAGCTGGCTGAAAGTATTCCAGGCGGAGTCGAGCGAATCCGGTGTGGTGGCACGATGACGTTTTACGTTCCGATGCGGAGAATCAGAAACTGGTAAAGAGAAAAACAATAGCAGAAAGAGTGAAATTATAGTTAAGATTTTTATTGGGCAACAATGGGCAGCAGCCAGATATGAGGAACGAAAGTCTGTGCGAAAAACCCACATATCATGGAAAGCGGCTGCATCATAAATATATACCACCCCAGATAAGATCAGATGAATGTGAGCGAAGACTAGGAGTTCTATTTCAGATAGCCATCACAAATTGGTTTGGAAGCCTCAAAATATGTCGAAAAGCAATGATATCATGGAATACGCGAGATGGCAACAAACCGAGCTACTAGAGTGTGGAATAGCATCGTTATGAAATACGAATAACCAAACTGCTTTCTAGGGTGACATGTAAATTGGGGGAACCAGAGCAGGGAATTTGCATAAAAAACAGATATGGAAAGTTTGACCATGATTGGTAATGCTTTACAACTGTGACACGAAGTGCATCCGGCTAAGTTTGTGTTCACAAAGGGAGAGGTGTAAGTGAGTCCACCATGAATTAACGTCGAAGGGGGAAAAGCTCGTCAGGGGGAAAGCTCGAATATTGCGAAGCAAGTGAACGCACAGTTGTGATGTGTTAGAACCCAACGAGGCAACTCATTAAACCAAGTAGAAAAACAGTAGCTAAACAAGCTAATGATGAAGAGACCAAAGAAACCCTAACATAAAGAATGATGGAGGCAAACCCGCTCGTGATAATTATTGTTTTCTCTGGTCACGAATAAGGGGTTACAATTAGAGAAGCATATAAGCCTCGTACTTATAAATGAGAAACTATTTTGTAAGCACTTTACACTAGCTAATTTTGATACATTTTTTTTACAAAACAGCTGCTCCCCACGGTTAGGGCGTGCCCTTTATGGTCGGATAAGGTGGTAAGCGAAGACGGGAATAAAACGGAGCGTAGGCTGGGCAGCCACAGCTGCGGCGATAGTTACACCAAATGCGATGAGACGACGCACACGAATGATGTTAGAGAATCGATGTAGACGTTATCAGTCAAAAACACAAGAATGAAAGGCCGCCTAGACCTCGAAGACGCTGGAACAAGATGCTTTTGACTTTCATTACGTTAACAGGTCAATTTGACTTGCAAAACAAAACGATGTACGGATAAGACAAAATGCGGAAAAAGTAAACTAAATTTTGAATGAGTAGAACAGTGTATTTGATAGGTCAATGCGTAGTCAGCCATAAAGGTGATTTAAGACCCGGGAATAGACTTTAATGTGGATGGCATGTGCTCACTGACAAGTAACTTAGCAGGCTGTCTACTGGGTAAGCTACTGGACTAAAAAATATGTGACGTTATGTTCCATTAGAAAGAACAAAAGTAGGAGGAAGAAAAGCACAGGTAATGAGGGGGAAAGAATGAAGCCACAGTTCAGTTGAATTCGGTCGAATAACTACGATCTGGACACCGAAGTGCGGTGGGTTCAGTAGCCACAGCTGGTGTGACTAAGATAATAACAGTGGTTATAAAAAGAGGTAGAAAGCACAAATAATATAACGGAAGGTTTAGAGTGAATTAGGGACAGAATGACAAGTGACAGACGCAAAAATTCAAATGCAAGAACGCCACTGACAGCGCGAATACGCCATGTTCGGTAGTCTCAACCACTGACGTGGATCATTACGAGGTCGCCATCGGCGAAATCCGAAGGCATCAGCCTGACCAGCACACACAATCAATTTCTTCATGCATTTACGTTACGCCCGACTGGCCACCTCGTTTTTTTACCCAATTGGGTGTGCTACGACGATATACAATGAACCCCGAAGAAGGCGGTCATGAGGTATACGCGAAGTGTAAGTCAAAAAGAACGTTGATCTTCTATACCGGATGAATTGTTCCCCCTTGATGCCTCAAGTATCTTATGCCCACCTTCTTCTACATTCCGAACTAAAACACAGTTTTTGCGTTCCAGACTGTTACATTTTCAAAGAGCATCGGTATTGATTCACTTTATTTGCACGCACTATGTTTCAAGGGTACATTTCTATCAAACTGCCTTTAACTTTACCGTTAATATTATCTGTTTCCGCCCGCTGCTCGAACGTTGCGAAACTAATCGTGAGTCCTGTCTTGTACATTGTTCCACCTTTTAGAATCAAGGTTAGAGGAATATATTACAAATTCTTCTATTCCAACTGATTTCTGCTCAGATAATGCGTATAGCCAAGGTTTATAGCTCGAACAGGCAGTAGTTAGATATATTTCGTGTGGCGTAATTCGATTTATCGCAGCGTAATAGTTACACGGAGGATATCATCTAGTTAATCTAAGTAGTCAAGCTACTATAATCACTTCAAACAGTGATGCTAACCCAGAATTCCCACCTTCGATGATTAAATACGGCTGAACGCTTTATGTCTTCAATACGAAGTAAACAGATTTCGTAAACATAGAGTACCAGTAACGTCATCGCAGCGTTACACACCTTACCTTTCACCGACAGGCTGATGTGCCACTGTCTTCATAGATGTTTGAGCAAATAAAATCCCACATAGGCTTTCAGGATATGCAAAGAGACCTCAGTGAGGTAGCCACCAGATATGACACAACGACGAAGGGCAATGAGCCACTTGCAGTGTCTGCCCGCAAATAGCTTAACAGTTCAGTCTTGCAACAATACCTTGCACCTTGCAGAGCACACGCCGACAGGCGTAGCGGTATGCGCCAGTCAGTCTATTCAATAATGCTGTCACAGTCACGGTGTCCGACTCAAAGCGACCTTATCGTCCGCATACCCACGTTTGTCACTCGGTTACCAGGTAGAACTCCCATACCAGAAGAAGCTGTGACGAGGGCGTCATTTAGGATCACTTAGATCATAAAGCTGGAGCGGAAACTTACCTGTCGTAGAAAACTCAAAAGACAGCTTCCAACAGAGAATTCAGATCCGGAATCGCAATACCGATATTACAGATTGGAAAAAGTTTCCGTGACAAGCACTTCACGGAAAAGCAACGACACAAGCTGACAAAAATCACAGTCGAAAACGGCTGTCGAGTCAAGGTAAACCCATATAACCTGTCGTCTATAAGTCTATGCACAAATACTTAGTGAAGGTAAACAAAGGGTTGCTGCCACCACAATCAGGGTGAACGAACGCATGGTTTTCAATGAGATGACTACCGCGAGGAGCAGTAAGTCGTTGAAGAATGATATCCATGAGACTAGACCTTAAGGTGGTGCGACGGTTTGCGTATCTCCTTAACCCATTGAGCTATATTGAGTGGTGCCTGAGGGCATCTTGAGAGATACTCTTACCAGGTTGGTCCATGGTGAGAGGTCAGACAAACTCAATCTCCTCAAACACAAACTATACACGTCAGCTAGAGGTGGGGAACACCTCAGCTACTGTGCCGCAATACCTAAAGGAAAAAGGGAAAAAATGCAACAGGTGCAAGCCAGCTGAGCTACCGGTAACGGACGGGCATCGTTCCGGTAGGCTAACTGCCAGCTACTATGCAGCAAAAAATAATTTACTACGCAAAATTATAAAATGTTAAATAATGAGATCATAGTTGGAGGAGGCTAAGAGGGATGGGGTGGGACAAAGAAACTCACAGCACGAACGCCAATGAGGTCGGCTCCTAGCCATATCAACAACTGTATCCAGCCAAACGTGTTCGCCTTCGGACCCCTAACCAGGGTGCCGAGGCTCCTGGTAATCCAGGTTAGAGGTTTCAAAGAGGATGGCGCCCATTTCTGTAAAACTAAATCAATGCCACCTCCGCAATGCCTTGCGCACAGGCTTTGCATCAGGACTCTAATCGTCCTCCTGTCTAGGTCTGGGCGCCCTGGCAGTATCTCAGCTCACATACAGCCATGACACAAACTTCATCCTGCATCCACCGTCGTGCAGATTATTAAGGGTCACCTTATCTGCTGCATACAGCACGGCGGATAAGCGAAAACATGCTACTGCTGGCGTCTCTCTTCTTTCTTTCCCACCTGTTTCTCTTATTCCCATCCCGACCCCCATTACTAACCGTCCTCCTATAATTCCCAGCTTAATTGACAGCAACCGAAGTGCCACTGGAGGAAAACCATCTGCAGCCACCATCCCACAACACGCATCGGACGCCTATCGGCAAAAGTCCCTTATAAGGCCACGCTACCCCGTTTCCATGGCGACGTACAACGTTCGCACTCTAAGACAAACAGGTCAACAGGCTGCACTCGTACGCACCTTGGACACACTGGGTATTGATGTGTGTTGTGCGTCCGAAACTAGGATCAATGACCTTAACGGGGTTATTGAATTAACTGCACCAGGCTTATCCTCTCGTTATTTGTTGCACGCATCCGGAGACGCCGATGCAGCACTCACGGGTCAAGCTGATGTGGGTATCATTCTAAGCTCCAAGGCTGAGTCATCGCTGGTTGATTGGATTCCGGTGAACAGCCGTTTATGCGCAGCCCGTTTGACGACATCAGCAAGGTTGATTCATGAAGTAGTACAAAACGCTGTTTGTTTATGATTTCCGCTTATGCCCCCACCGACTGCAGTTCTAATGCTGTCAAGGACACATTCTATCACGAACTGAACGCCCTACTGCGCAGTGCTACTAGTTCAGATAGTATAGTACTTGCAGGGGATATGAACGCACAAGTAGGGCGTCTGAGCTCTTCAGAAGCTCAGTTGGGTGGTAATTATGGGCTTAACTCCGAACGGACTGACAACGGTGAGCGCCTGCTGCAACTGTGTGCGCAGCGCCAGTTGTTTCTTAGTAGCACTACTTTTAGACACAGTGGGCGCGGAGGTGCCACTTGGCGTCCTCCTGTAGCTGGCCAGCGATGGACCCAAATTGATCACATAGCCATGGGTTACAGACGGCGTGGTTCCATCCTGGATTGCCGCCCGTACTGGAGTACCTGTGTCGACTCTGAGCATGCTTTGGTACGCTGTCGTTTCTCCATGAAATTTACCTGGAGGCGCACCAAGCGTCCCCTCCGAATGGCAACGGAGAAATCGTCTCAGTCCAC